GTAGGCACTTGTATTTCGACCTTATTCAATGTTCTTTTTCATGTCTAGTTGAGAAACACTTTATAAACTCTATGTATTCTGCTTTACAGCTGAAACAGATGCGAATGAGATGATAAAACTTGCGTATTTTAAGCGATTTGTTTTTATTCCTTTTTTTGACATTCCCAATAGCGTTTAGCAAAAATGAAACCCATCTGTGTGGTCCTTGTATGGACCCCTACAACATGCAACAAATCGTTTTGAAAAAGCTCACCACGGCCTGAACGACCTCCCTTGTAAGATGAGAGGCAAACGACTGAAAGGCAGAGCATGACTTCTCTTCTAGCGCAATCCCTATTGCAATGAATTCCTTGCTGCAGGATGATGGTGGCGGACTTTAGCTGGAGTAGCATACGGTAAGATACTGTAGATACTGTATGCCACCACCCTGCGCATATCCCGAGGCCCGCCTGCGGCATGACCTGGCTTAATTGCTGCTCTGACTGCTGACCTCTCACTGGCTACTCAACGTAACGAGATGAATCGAATCGAATTGATCCGTAATATTGGGTTAGCCTACAAGTAATGACGTTTTTATCTCGCACAAATTTTATATGGAAAATGACACTTGTTCTCAATATGTACTACACTAATTGACAGATGATTATCCGCTCCATAAGGTAGTGGTAACGCTTTTACATTTCTTGATTTCCGTCGACTTTTCTTTCATTGGAGTGGAGTGTTAGGTCGGCACAAAAAAAAGAGTTTTTGACAACAACTTTTCGCACTTTATTTCAGCTCCCAAATTACAGAATGAGCTTAAAATGTGTGATATCTATGACCGAAAAAGTACTTCTTATGACCGCTTGAAGTTGGTTTAAGCGATCAAGAGGTGGGAATTTCAGAGGCGAAAGAGGTGGGAATTGAGGTGAAATGAATCACTTCTGTTTACATACTTGATATGTTCATCCTTCCTTCTATTTTTTCACTTTTAAGTGATTACGGCATGGGGACCCTCTTGAAGAGCGACTGCCTACGGAGCTTATCGCCTAACTTTTGAACGTCAAACATCAACCAGGGGTGATGCTTGATATTGCTAAGGAATTCAATTAGAAGTGAAATATGGAGGCTTTCAGAAATGCTCTGTTTCGTTGACCTTGACACTCCAGAAAGATTAGCGAAAAGAGAATGTTCAAAAAAAACAAGGAAAACTTTCGTGTGAGGCAGGGAATTCTCTGCAATACAGTACAAAACTCAAGGACAAATTTTTCATTTTCTGCGCGACCCAAACTTCGAGTGAGAAAGAACGCCATAACTTATAGGCCGACCCAGTAGTAGGATTCGATAGAAATTGAATTTAACAGAAATTTCTGAAAATTTCAAAGGTTTTTTCGCTCCGAACATTTATCGTCATTCGATATTTGGAAATTACTGTTCTTCACATATCAAATCCTACTACTAGATGATTTCGATACATCTCGTTTCGTTGGACAGCCAGAAACTTCAGAAAACAGAAACATTTAAAAACTTCAACACGCTTCTCTTCCATGCGAACATTTATCCTCAACCCAGTATTCATAGAATTAAGAAATTACGATTTTAACTTTTTAAATCCGATTATTATACGTATTCGAATGGATTCATCTTGTTGCATTGAGTAGCCAGTGAGAGGTCAGCAGTCAGCGCTATAATTAAGCGCGGTCATGCCGCAGGCGGGCCTCGGGATATGCGCTGGGTAATAGCATACAGTATCTACAGTATCTTACCGTATGCTACTCCAGCTAAAGGTGCTCACCCCGGAATGATGCAGCCAGTAGTCATACAAATTCTACGAGTATCTTGGAAGGGTAAGGCCAGACGCCAGCGCAAACGCCCTCAACAACCCCCCACCCCCTTGCGAGCACATTTGTTCGAACAGAGAAAGAGCACATGACGAGTGGATTGACGAGCATCACCTGCGGCATAGGGCGACTGATTGTGGTCGATGTTGTGGCTGCGCCATGGGGGTCACATACTGACTTCCTGTTGCCAGTGATGTCTCTGCCGGTGTTCTTTAGTTCTTTAGCAGGTCTTCTTTCATTATGGGAGCAGAGCTGTGGGCGGGGACAATGAAAATGGTTCGAGCCAATGAGAGGAATGACTGTCTCCATCCTCTTCCCTTACATTTGCGCCGCGAAAATGGTTCAATCGCTGCCTCTGCGGGCTGTCTACCTGCTCACGAAGGGAGAGGAAGATTTCAGCTGATCGCGGGCACTGCCTTTAAAAACACTTCGCCAGCTTGCAGTGGAGAAACACTGGGCGTCGGAACGAGAGACCTGACGGCAAAGTGGTGAAGCAGCTGATGACTGAAGGAGAGGAAAGGCATAAACATGCTACGTTATTGCGTCCATTGCAGAGCAGTGACTGCGAATTAGGACCTCTCGCTCTCGCCTATTTTTGAAGGCAGCGCCCGCGTTCATTGGATGTTCTACGCCTTCCTTAAAACTGTGTCGACAATGGCGGAGGATGTACTGATTTTCGCAGCTCAAAAATACGAGAGGATGGCGCCACCCGCTTGTGAAGAGGATGCCGCCCCGCCCACCTGGCTGCCATA